GTACTGCCTTGCGACCCTGACGCCTATATATATACATCCTGGAAGGGATCTAATGCCTTCCTCAATCGTGCTGGAGGAGACAAAGATGGATGCGTGGCGGACATTGAGCTTTTCGAGGAATAAAACCTCTAACTACGTTGAGCGCTGGTATCCTGCAAGCCGCCGCGATTGAGAAGTACAGCAAGAGCCTGCAGCCCCGCCGTTGCTGCTTTCGGTACGTCCTTCAACATTGCCAGCTGTTTCATGTCTTTAATGCCGGCGGTGTCCAGCCACCGCTTAATCTGTTGCGTTTCGGGCCCTTGGTTAGTCATTATAGCGAAAGATGCAAGGAAGAGAACAAGGCGAAAAATGAAAAGAAACTTTCGGCAGGTGTATTCGATAGCATATGTGAGGAGTGCTACCACAAGTAGGCACCCAGTATATCTGAGATCACTAAGATGCATGGTATATGTATGTGACTAGCTATGAAATCAGATTTACTGGCGACGTAGATGTGTAGTAGATATAATCAAGCTCAATTGTCAGGGCACGATTTTTTCCTTACCTTGGTCTGATTGTTTTCTATCCATGAATAGAAACACTTATATAGAGAGAATATGTCTAATTCAATAGACCGTTGTGAATTAAGATACAAAAAACAACTTATTTTCATACTGCTATTCTTTGAAATTATCACCAGAGAAGGGGGTAAGGTGTACATGCGGCCGTATAGGGTTACAGTACTGTTAATTATGTCTTTTACTTTACTCAATAGCTAAAAAAACAGACAAATGTAAATTCTGAGACCAGTAAGTCGTTTAAATATAACGTTGTAATACTCTAGTATGAGTCTTTTCCACATTGCAAAGAACCCAAAATATCTATGACAAGTTACATTACCTTTCATTGTTAGGAGTGAAGTCGACTAAGAATAGCATGTAGAGGGAATGCATAGTTTCACGAGAAAGCTTACGCCCTAGAAGAGTGCTCCTTCCGAAGACAGGGATTCCCAAAGTATCTTTGTCTGTAGCATGTAGCCAATTTATTTAGATGAACTGAGTCATTTTGTGTAATCCCAAACTTTTATACAGTATCCCTTTACCAAAATTCGCTCTAACTCATTAGGCGGATATCGAACTTACAAATAAACGAGTAACTCACATTCAGGTCTTAGTCCACTGGAAGGTAAAG